ACCTGAAAGGTCTCTCCAGTAAGACCATTTCTCTTACAAGAGCAAACAATTGCAGTAACTTCAAAGAGAACAGAAGCAGAGGGATGCAGTCACCAGTTTTGCAAAGACACAGGGGGGCTCTGCCAGCCCCTGACAACTTCCTATGCCCCCTCCCCCCCCCCACCTTATTTGGCAGATGTTTGTATTAAAAGCCCAGGGACTGGAAGTCAGGCTTGGGAAGACTATCCCTAAACCTGGTGCCTGGCCCTCAGGCTTTAAATGCCACCCCTGCTGCCCAGCTAGGCAGCAGCTATTCCAAGCCTCAGAGTCAGGGCCAGGTCTTCTCTCCCCACTCAGGTTCCTACTCCCACAGGCTTTAAATGGGAGACATGCAGCAGTTTAAAAGCTAGAGACAGCGCCCAGTCAGGAAACTTGTCCATGGCCCCACATTCCTCATGCCAGTCTTTAAATCACCCTATGTGAAGCCCATCTCTGCTGCATACAGGGCAATTAAGAATCCAAGTGGGTGCCTATTAACAGCCTGCCCCCCTTCCAGGCCCAGAAAAGAACAGACTGTCAAAGTAATGGGCTCTGCTAAGGGCAGGAGTGGCCCAAGAAGCAGTTCTCTAATGCCTTTCGACTGGAGAGCTTGCCTGCTGAGCTTTCCAGCAAGGGGCTGGCGCACATACTCCAGCTCCTGGGCTGTTTTTCTTCTAGTAGAATAGTTTCAGAGAATTCCTTAAAAAAAGGTGGACAAAGCCTTGAATAGCCATATTGTCTTTCTGCAGTCCCATGTGGTTTGTACTTACTGCTCGTCTAGTCTGGATATTAGCTGTCCCATCAGAGATTATCTTCTTCAGAACTGGTGCAAGGGTCTTAAAGATCTCCTCACTTTCGATTCCTGACCCCAGCTGCACACAAAGAAGACATGCCAACCCTGCAGCTGCACACTGTTCATCACTCTTACCTACAAATTAAAAAAAAAAAAAAATAGTATGCATCATCATCCTGTGGATTCAATCATCCCCAAATGTATACAATTGAGTGACCATATGAAATATTATTCATTTATTTATGAAAGAAAAATGGAACCTACACATTACACAAAATTTTAGCCAACTAATGTAATATAAATAGTTTCCTAGGACAATGCCATTCATTGACCTTTGATCACTAATGTCTCAACACTGGACAAAAGAAGCTTACCTAAAAATTCAGATTTGTTCAACCTTTCCCTTTCAGTACCATAAGCATTATTTACCTTTCTTTATGCAGCGTTCAATGCTATCTGTCAAAGTCATTCTCCGTTCCAAAATAAAATCAAAGAGTGTTTTGGAAGTCAGTGCATTTTTAAGACCTTCAAGAGCTGCTTGCCTCGTCTTTGCACTGTTGGAAGGAAAATAAATGGATAAAACTGATACAGAGAAGTTACAACAACAATTAGCTTTGCTCTTATTGCCGTCTATATTATGCACTTATCTAGCACTTTAAAGTATGTAGTATTCTTATTTGCATATAAAAACAATGATCAGGTGCCTGCCCTGTCTTTTGGGCAGACCAATTTAAGTTAGAACTTGATTTATTTTCTTTCAACAATTTTACTCTAGAAGAGAAACAAAGTTCAAGTTGGAGACTGTCATAAATGCTTTTTCCTTAGCACTGCCAAACCTTGATAATCTACCTGCCCAGGAAATTGTACACACCATTCTTCAGGTTGCAATTTTATTTGACACTAAATTTGATTGATCGGTAAACAACTGTACAAGGCTAATTTATCAGGACATAGCACAGCTTCCTCACTGAAAATTTGTATTTCAAGTCTAACAAGCCCCAAATTTAAGTCTGAACATAGCTTTCAAATATACCATACCTCTTGTCCAATGTAAGGTCAATGAATCCCTTCAACTTGTACTCCAAGTCTTCTTGAGTTGCATCTTCTTCAGCTTCAGGACCTACTATAGATAAGATAGCTTTATACAAGTGACCATTACATTAATTACGTTTAAAGTAGTTAACATATGAAATGCCATGTTATGTAGATTTTTAAAAAGGATTAAATCTAAGTATCAAACTTAAAACAAATGTGATAATTTAAGCTTGATATCATGGTATCAGGGGACTTAGCTATAGAAGTTTGGAATGTCAGAGCTACAGAATGACACCTTAGTCTATTGCATCACAGTGTGTCTCTGGCAAATGCCTTTGTTGGCCAGGTGGCTCTGATTAATTTGTATATACAGATTTCAAACTCAGAACATGGACCATGAATGCAAAAAAATATTTTCATTACCTGTAATTTTGGGACAGCAAGGCAAATAGAAACAGTTTCCAGTATGCTTAACCTTTCATTTTGTAGTTATAGTGTATTTAGAGAAGTTGTGGCAAGGTTTTAAAAATTGCTTGTAAAACCTATATCACATTTCCCAATATCTACTTTGAAATTACAAAACACAAACCAGAGCAACTAGTTTTAGGCTTAAAGAGAATTTTGATTCCTTGCAGAGGAGAGGGGAGCTCTGAACCCCCATCTCACTTTATACTTTGATTAGGAACTCTTGGGACAAGAACCATTTTTGTCTTGTGTTTATACAGCTCCTACCACAAAAGGGTCCTGGTTTATGATTTGTACATTGTGATTAAGTACCTAAAACTAATTAAATTGGTGTTCTGCATTTCCACTTCAGTAGAAAACTAATTAAAATGCAACAGCTGTCAAAGATACAGCAGTCTATGTTCAACAGAAGTCATGTTTGCACCTTCTTCCTGAAAAAACCTTCAGTGAAACATACAGATAAAAATCAAGTACATACCATCCTCAGTGAAGCTAGCAGGGTCGCTAAAACCACTACAGTGGCTCATAGTCTCAATTGATGCATCCTCATCACTGAAAGGCTGCACATTTCTGTGCTGACCACCTTGGGAAAAAAAATAAAAAGAGACACGAATAACTTTCATACCAGGGAAAAGAAAAACATATATTCCACAAGTTACTCCCTCTCAGACTCCCATGTTGCCTGATCCAGGAAATATTATAGAGAAGTCTTTCTCCATCCAAAGCTTTTTCTGTTCTCATCACTAGAAGACTAACACTCCTAACACCCCCCCCCCCCCCTCTTAGCAC